TACACCCTATCAATGAGAGAGAATTCAGTTCTCTTGCCTAGACACAGCCTCTGTGGTAGCAATGGAGACCTATATAGTAGCAGCATCTCTACACATGAGCCCCAAAACCTTTCCCCCAGTTGCTCTTAAATTTTGGCTCTTCTATTTCTTTTGCACCATATAATGCAGGACAGCACTGTCAGAGTTAAAAAAAAGTCAGGTTTAGCCTGAGGATTCATGAGGCACATCAGCCAAGACTTCAATATTTTTAAAAAAATTAAATGAGTTAATATATGAGCTTAAAAAATAAAAACACTCATCTCAATCATATTTGCAGCTCCTCTCCTGGGACATTATATATTAAATCTACTTTGAGAATATGTCTATTCTTTAGAAATTCCTAATTATATGCAAACCATGCAAATTCACCTATGGTAGAAATATTTTAAATAAATATCATACATTAAAATTTACCACTTATAATCATCCCATAGGAATAATAGATCTTACATTTATAAATTACGAGTGTGAAGACTTTAAAAAGTATTTGAAGAACACGCATAGCCAACATGACTATTTTCCTGGGGAAACAGAGAGGAAGAAACAGGACTTAGTAGATTAATACACCAAATATTAATCATCAACATTACCATAAAAAAGTCAAAAGGACTGATTCTACAACTGTAGCAGTGGCTGTGATATGAGCATTGTTAGGTTGGTAACAGATGGAGAGAGAAAAACAATACTGTGACAGGAGGTACAGAAATTTTTCACAGGAGAGTCAATGGTAAGATGAAAATTTGAGGCTTATACATCTTTTCCACTAAATAAAAGTTGTGTCAAATTTTGTATGTAGTATATTTTCCCTGCCCAAGTAAATTATTTTGCAGCGTATTTTTAAACTGGTTTCTGACAGAAATATTGTACCAGCCAGGATGGACAGTGCATAACATAGTTAAAATCCAGTTGAAAATACTATTCAATGATTTTTTTTTTTTTTTTTTTTTTTTAAAAAACGGAAACCTCACCCTAAAAATGCAACTAAGCTTAGAGGGCACGATTACAGTATTCCAATTATGCCCACATCCCCCACTGATCAATATAACTGTGTTACCAAAACTGTATTTAAAAATGAGTACCAAGCTAAGGGAAAGTGAAGTATGGAAGAGACCTCACAAACTTGAAGCTCCAAAGAATAAGTGGCTTAGAAAAACTGATCTACTACTGCCTTCTGGCAGAAGCACCCAGATCACAGTAGAGAAGCACTCTTCTTTCTTGAACTCAGATGGACAGTCAAAAAAAAACAAAAAAGAAGAGAGTCCACTCTTCTATTATATTTATTCTGTCCCTAATATATTTTCTCTTGGCACACTTCTTTATCTGGGCCTCCAATTTCTGAGCTGCTAAGTACCCTCACTCCTACTGGAGCTCCCTTTGCAGGATCAGGTCCCTTAGCTTTCAGACAGCAAGACAACACAGATAAAAATGGTGCGTACATACATACACCTGAGAAAAGGATCAGAATCACTGTGGTATATCCTTGCAGCAGAATAGATATCTGGAGTTCAGGAGATAGTTACATGTTAGAATTAAGAAGATTTATTACCCCATAGTTCTCGAACATCACTGGCGGACTAATTTGTGAGCGGGAGCATCATACGAAGTACAAGTAGATTAGATCTATGCGGTTGTGATCTCTCTTTTGTGAAAACTGTCTTCTAAATAACAAATAGCAAAACTGTCTTCTAAATAACAAAATTAGTGCATACAGTCACAAGCACCATCTGAGTGTGGATACATTATATATCTACCATAAGCCCTGGCTTGTTCTGCAGACTTAAGAAGGATCTTGATCCAGTTTACCTTCTTGAATACTAAGTACATATACTGGAGAAAGATGCTGAAACATAAAAGCCCCATAAGTTAGTTGATGGTTTAAAAAAAACAACTTGTTGAGCCCTTAGATCTTAAACATAAAAACTGGAGATGGAAAAATTGTGGTCCAAGGAATAAAGTGCAATAATAATCAGTTAATTTATGTTAAAAAATCCTTCCAATTCTATTTCAGTTTCTCTTCTTTGCATGCTATATTTTGTGTTTTGAGGTTTTGTACATCTTTGAATTACAACTGTTTCTTGCTTCTGTCTCCATCTTTCCAGTACTGCTCAGTCTGCATTTCAGTAAGCCGTGAGATAGTACGTTGAAATGCAAAGATTTCTTCCTCTCCTGTAAACATGGAAAGTCCTTCAGCTGAATCCTAGATTGATATGTAAAAAATAGTACAAAATTGTGAGAAACAGAACAGCATCTTATCCAAACTGTATCTTTCCATGCTTTAGAGAGCTAATACTACAAAACAGTTGATAATAAATGTAAATAAATTAAAAAAATTAAAATGCCAAAATTTAGTATAAAATTAAAAATCCAAAACTAGTGCTAAAGGAATTATACATTGTCTAATACATCCTCTGTAGAATTATAACAAAGACTTAGAAGTAAGACAATGATGTTGGAGCCTTCTATTTTCATTTTTCTTTTAATTTGAACTAAGTATACAACTACATTTTCTTGATTCTTTTGATGCATTATTGTTGAAGTTTATCTGCTTATCTTAATCTCTGATAATACTCTACATTAAAAATAAATATTGAGTACTATGAACTTAAGCAAACCGAACTTAGCCAATATCTTTTGGGGCAATATTGCTTGCCTTGGTTATACTATGATGCAAAAATCTCCCCAAAATGCAACAATCGTAGAGAAGTGCTGTCTCGAATCATTCAGTGAAAACCTGTTAAAAAGCTCTTAGCAGTTGTACTAAAATACCTAGTTACATTCTCTGAGATGAGAGAAACCTAGCAAGGGGCATTCAGAATAGTATTCAGCATTCAGGGTTAAACTTAGCTCATTTTTTTTGTACATAGTTGAGTGAACACTTGGAATAATAAGAAAGGCAATGATCCACAAATTTATGCAAAATGGTTCTCTATCTAGTCATCTTCTTCAGCATATATAGGGGAGCATAAGTTTATGTTATAAAAGCAACAAATATGCCATACAGATTCTAGTGGAAAGCAGCAAATCATCAGTTAAACATTCACTAGACTTTTCCCTAAAATGCTGCCATGATTATCAGACCAAAACCAATTAGACTCTTTTGTAACAAAAGAAGATGATGTTAATATCACTTACCTGGCTCAACCCCAAGTCATCCATCAACACTCTACTTTCCTCCAGCCCACCATCATGGTATTCTTGCAGAAACAAGCTTTGGAGAGGCACGGATGCAGAACAAATAATACGAACCTGAAATATGGGAAAATGTGAAATGATACAATTACTTGTGCTTTACAATGAAAGGGAAAAAAATCCATCTTTCACGAAAAACGCATTTGAAAAATTCTGCAGTAGTTTTTCCAAGTATCTTTCATCACTTTCATTGACCAGCATTCACTAATGCTGTTACCTGAATATATTATTTAGTCCTTTGCTAGTAAATAGACTTTAATGTATAAGAACCAAATTCTTGATCCAGAAATTATCACTGATTGCTGTCAGGAGAGAGAAGCCTTTCTAGTAAATAGTCATTAAATATTTTAAATATATTTGCTGTATGTTCAGGTGCAAAATGTTTATATGCCAGATTTACTGTTTAAAATAAACAACTCTTTAACATCTTCATTAATGATCTGGATTCAGGAGTCAGATGTGAACTGGGCAAGTTTGCAGACAATACCAAATTATAGGGGAGGGCAGTCACACTGCAGAAGAGGCTAGGGATACAGGCCAATTTGGACAAACTCTTAAGGTGGGCTGGCCAAAACCTGGTGGCCTTCAATGCAGAGAAGTGCAAGGTTCTGCACCTCAGTAGGAAGAACCCCCAGCATACTTAAAGGCTCAGCAGTGCTATGCTCGCTAGCACCACAGCTGAAAGGGACTTGGGGGTCTTGATTGACCACAGGATGAATATGAGCCACCAATGTGATGCTGTGGCTGGCAAAGCAAACCAAACTCTGGCATGCATCCACTTATGCATCTCACGCAAAATCAGGGAAGTCATCCTCCTGCTTTACTTGAGCCTGGTGAGACCGCAGCTGGAGTACCGTGTCCAGTATTGGGCCCCCCACTTCAGGAAAGATGTGAGAGAAGCTTGAGAGAGTCCAGAGGAAAGCCACTTGTATGATCCAAGGCGTGGAGGGAAGGCTGTACGAGGAGAGGCTGAGGGACTTGGGACTCTTCAGTCTGGAGAAGAGAAGGCTCAGGGGGGACTTGGTGGCAGTTTACAATTACATAAGAGGGGTATATCAGGACCTGGGAGAACACCTGTTCACCAGAGCTCCCCAAGGGATAACAAGGTCTAACGGCCATAAATTCCAGGAAGGCTGATTTAGACTAGACCTAAGAAAAAAGTTCTTTACGGCACTTGTGTCCAGGGACTGGAAAAAACTCCCTCCAGAGGTGGTGCAAGCACCTACTCTGGACTCCTTCAAAAAACAAAAATATTTCTTGCTGGGGTCACTTGATCCCAGCTGACTTCCCACCTATGGCAGGGGGGCTGGACCCGATGATCTCATGAGGTCCCTTCCATCCCCTAATATCTATGAAATCTATGAAATATAAAAATTAGTAAAATGAAGCTTTAGGAAAAAGATGCCTGAAGTGTACAACAACTGAATGTTTACAGAATATCAAGTATTTCAAAAGGTTCAGTGTTGACACTAGGTGTTACTAATAGAATTTATTTTTGCCAGAGCCCTAAAGGATTGACATGGCAACTTATGTGATTTGGTATCAAGTGAATATTAATAATAACCCTTAGACAATATTACAGGTTTCCTCCCCATAATATGACCTGACAAGTGGCTCTGTAGGCATCTCAATGGGCTTTGGGCCTTCTTTGGGCCGTACTTTGGGCCTTCCACTGGGTGCGTGATGTCTATGGCTTCTCTGTTGTCCAGCGAAGATGCAACAGGTGTATCCATTTCCCCAGGTTCATTGCATGCTCGCACACCTTCCTTTGCATTAACTACTTTTTATTACTTTTTCATACCAAATTGTCCAAAACCCCTGGCTTTGTGCCAAGCGTTCCTTATACAGTGTACACTACCAGGAGCATGACACTCCCGACGGCCTTGCTCAGGATCATTGGAATGGGCAAGTCTCTCCACCACTACAAGATAGCGATCCCCAGGGAGGTCACCCCGGTTTGCCCATGGCAGCAAGGGCGCAGGAAAGGTTCCTGACTGAGAGCAACCCAAGAAGACATCAACAGTGGACCAGGCAGAAGAAAAGTGTAACCCCCTTTTCAGCAGCTGTGAAGCCGAATGAAGGCCGCTTCAAGGGTCTCCAATCGTCTTGGATTCCATGCCATTGGACTTAGATCCCTATCTGTCAAGGGCCGTGCATTTGTTGGTGTGTGACAACATCTTAACGCTAAAAGAAGTAATGCACAAGTATCTTCTTTATGGGAATTATCCATCGCCTGTGCACAACAGGAAAGTCCTATGGCGATCGGCGACAGGGATAGGATTGTGAGACCTGGAAGTTCCTAGTCATGGACAGGCATGTAGGCGGTGGGTGTTTGCTTCAGTTGTCTTGTTTGAGAACAGAGGCAGTAAGAGCAGTTCAGCAGCTGCACCCATGACTGAGCAGTCCTGTTTAGGATCCACTCTACTCACCTCACATGGGGACGGGGCTAGAAAAGGTGCCCCAAACAGTTTATCTTGATCAGTTCCTGACTGGATAACTGCATCCAGTAGGATCACCTCTATGCGGTCACAAAGAAACAAAAATGATTTTTGGAACCTGGAACATATGAACCTTAATGGACTATGCAAATAGTAACTGCCTCAAACGAAGGACAGCAATCGCCTCTCGTGAACTGAGGAAGTTCAACACTGATATTGCTGTCCTATCTGAAACTCAGCGTGCTGGAGAAGGACATCTGAAAGAAGAAGGTGGAGGATACGCCTTCTTCTGGAAAGGGACAGCAGAACAGCCACAGACACATGGAGTTGGTTTTGCCATCAGAAATGAACTTGTAAACTGACTCTCAGAACTCCCAACAGGTGTTAATGAATGCCTTGTGACTCTCCATCTGAAACTCACCAAAAACCAACAGGCGACAATTGTGACTGCATATGTCCCAACTCTCGATGCCAATGAGATCATGAAGGAAAACTTCTACTGACAGCTTGACATCATCCTCTCAAATATCCCAAAGGAAGATAAGATCATTCTTCTTGGAGATTTTAATGCCAGAGTGGGAAGAGACTCAAAACTTTGGAATGGTACTATTGGAAAAGAAGGCATTGGAAAGTCAAATGCTAACAGGATCCTTCTCCTGACGAAGTGTGCAGAACACAGACTTGTCATCACAAATACCCTGTTCTGTCAAAGGAACAAGTTCAAGACATCCTGGAAACACCCTAGATCAAAACACTGGCATTTGATTGACTACATGATTGTTCGGACTCATGATCACCAGGATGTCCTGATTACGAGAGCCATGACTAGCGCTGATGACTGCTGGACTGACCACCGCCTCATCCATTCCTACATGTCCATCAGTATTGCTCCTAAATGAAGAATGCAAAGGAAGCAGATCAGGTGCAAGTTAAGCATCTAGTGCTGGAAGGACCTATTCAAGCAGAGAGAATTCCAGGAACTCCTGAATGAGACACTACCAACACAGCACCCAGGAGGAATTGAGGAGCACTGGACAGGACTTGAGACAGCTGTTATCTCATCCTGTGAAAATACCATAGGATACCAAACCAGAAAACATCTAGACTGGGTTGACGAAAATGACACTAAAATTCAAGATCTCATTTACAGGAAATGGAAAGTTTTGTGCCTAGCAGAATGACATCAACTCTGCCATCAAGAAAAATGCACACCAACAAGGAAAATCAGAGGTGCAGAGGAGACCACGAGAACTGAAGAATGAGTGGTGGATTCAGAAATCAAAAGAAACCCAACATTTTGCTGACATCAATGATACTTGTGACTTCTTCAGTGCTATCAAAGCTGTCTACAGCCCTAGCATTCAAGGCCTTAATTCTTTAAGATCAAAGGATGGAACAACATTCCTGAAAGACAGCAAATCCATCAATGCTTGCTGGAAGGGTCTCAGGAATAGAGTGGGCGCACGTGTGCAGCCAGCACACATGGGCCCCCCATCCCAAACTCACTGGCAGCGGAGGAGGTGGTGGCGGCAGTGACAGCAGCTGATCCAGGTAAGTGTGGGGGGGGGAGAAGGAAGCCGGCACAGCTGTAGAGGATCTGGAAGGGGAGCCCCCCGGATCCCTCTTATCTGAGCCAGCAGGGAGCTGCGCTCCTGAGCCACACGTGGGCAGTGTGCACAAACAGGCGCTCTGAGAGGGTGCGTCAGTGTTCACGCAAGGCAGGCATGCAGCAGTAACCGGAAGGAGCCTCCAGCAAGACAGAGAGGAAGACGCACAGCTCCATAGACATGGTAAGGATGCAGAGTACAGCTTCTAGGGGTCCCGCCCCGGTGGCACCACCTACTCTGGGCTCCTCTGAGGCCTCCACCCAGACAGAGCTCATGGTGGGGTCAGCGGCCCCCCGCCCCCCTGTTTGTGGGGGCAGCCTGGCAGGGACCCAAAGGCCTGTGGTGGGACTGGGGTCTGGTGGCTCCCTTGCCTGCCCTCCTGTGCCTGACTTTGGGCTCTGGAGGAGCAGGTGGGGGAGCTCCAGGCTGAGGTGAGCAGGCTACAGGGGATCAGGGCTGCAGAGCATGAGACTGACACCTATTTCCGTTCACTGCAGGACCAGTTGTCCTGCGTACAGACCCCCCAGGAGAGAGACGCAACAGAGTAGTGGCAAAAGTTGCCCACCAGACCCACAGCTGCTCGGGCTAGCGTGGTGGAGGCTCCCCAGGTACAACTCAGGAACAGACAGGACGCCCTGGCAGCCTTGGAAGAGAAGGACGAAGAGGATGTCTCCAGGGGGGATGGTGCCTCTCCATGCACAACACAGATGGTGCAGAGAGGGAGCACCAAGAGGAAGAAACACTGAGTCCTTGTCATTGGAGATTCCATCCTGAGGGGAACGGAGAGTTCCATCTGCCAACCCGACTCCATGGCATGGGAGGTCTGCTACTTGCCTGGGGCTCAGATTTAGGATGTCACAGAAAGGATCCTGGTCTTTATTCGACCCTCGGACCTGTACTCCATAGTCTTAATCCATGTGGGAACAAATGATGCAGACAGGGGCAACCCAGACCACATCATGAAGGACTACAAGGCCTTGGGGGCCAAGCTCAAAGAGACAGGGGCACAGGT